ATGAAGCTGTGTGTATGTCACATGAGGTGTCAAAAGAAACTTTATGTTCACAAATGGAAAAGACATATAAAAATTATTTTTATTGTTCTGTTAAGTCACACACAGAGAACACAACCCCCTGCTTTAAATGTCTGGTAATGACTTGACTACATGTAGAAAAACTAGTACAGCAAGTCCTTGGATAACATGGTTTTATTCAGTATCATTTCATTATGACATTGATGAGAAAAAAAGAATCAATTCCGGCTGAGACCACTATCTGTGTGGAGTTTGCATGTTCTCCCCACGTCTGCATGGGTTTTCTCTGGGTCTCTCGGTTTCCTGCCACATCAGAGACATGCACATTAGGTGAACTGACGTGTCTGCCTTGTCCCAGTCTGAGTTTGGGTTGGGTGCAGGTGTCATTGGCCCTGAGATGGAAGGGTACAGCCAGGGCGGGTGCCTTCCTGGCACTCTGAACTGCCAGGCTAGGCTCCAACCACCTGTGACCCTGAACTAGGTTGGAAAAAAGTTCTCCTACATGTTTTTATTCATCTTTCTAAAATGTATGTACAGCTCATATTTATTTCAGTGTTTAATATTTAAAATGTTTTGGAGTTTTATTTAGAAGTTTGATGATGTTGTTGTGACCAGAAATATCTTGTAGGAACTTAAGTCTTATTTATATCAACTAGCCTATGGCAAATTGGTTTTGTTGCATGTTTTCGTTCCCTTGAAGTTGCAGTTTCTCAGAACCTATCCATGACATTATTATTATTTTTTTTCTTTATTGACTTTAGAGAGAGAGGAAGGAAGAGGGAGAGAGAGATGGAAACATCAATGAGAAAGTACATCGATTGGCCACCTCCTACATGCCCCACACTGGGGATTTGGCCCACAACCTGCGCATGTGCCCTAATTGGGAATTGAACTGGTGACCTCTTGGTGTATGGGTCAAGGCTCAACCACTGAGCCACACCGGCCGGGCTATCCATGACATTAAATGAAGACATACTGTACTGGTTCAGCCTGCATATTAAACATTGGCTTTTTTTGATTCATGTTTCTTAAGAGCCCAGAAGTTAAACTGAGTTTTCTTTCCATCTCTTTTATTCTGAAGTAATTTTGTTTAACCTGCTCTTTTCATTCATATCAATTATGTTCTGAGAAAAAACATGTCTCTTCTTCTTGGTGATTCTTAAAGTGTTGCTTCAGTTCCAAGTAAGCTCAAGAGTTTTTTGTGCTTCTAATGACATTCAGTTAATTATATTTAAGCACTAGTTTTCTTCTTTCTTTTTTTCTACAGCCTGAACAACTAAATTTAGCAAATCCACAGAACATTTTCTATTCCATTACATCTATAATCTAGAAAAATGCCTCCAACCTGCTAGGGGAAAAAACAAACAAAAAAAAAACATTAAACTTTTCTTACTGTTTTCAAAAATATTAAGCACTGAAGTCAAAATATTATTCACCAAGTAATTATTTTCAGTCGTTCTTGCATCAGTAATCTTTGCTTAGATAATTTTCCATACATAGATTTAAGCCCTAAAAGACTAGCTTAAAGTTGGGTTAGATATATGAAAAAAAATAAACTGGAGACATTCAAGGTTTCCTCCCTTCCCTTCAGTTTAAAAAAAACAACAACCAAATACTACACCATCAATCATCTTATCATCTTGAGTTTTACCTAAAATTTTACATCTTCATGTTTTGATTAGTTTATGTGAATTGGTATTTTTGTTCTTAGAAAGCATTTCTACTATTTTTACTGCTGCCATTAAAAAAAAAAAATGTTGAGCCTCTAACAGCATTGGAAGAACACAAACAATAGTATAATCTGCACTTAATAATTATTTATCCCATTAATCATTATTTTCTTCCAAGAGTAGGACAATATGATGTCTTTCAAAACTACTATGAATTCCAATAGTTCATTTTTTAGTATCAATTTTTCCTGAATAAAGAAATAAAATTTTCTGTTGTTGATACTCAAAAATTTAGAAGACAATGCTTGAAAATATTTTTGCTGCCCTTTTATCACACAACAAAGATTCTGTTGTTGAGAAGTCCCTCTTGCAAACAGCTGACCAGCCTAGTGTTAACTTTTTTATGAGTGAAGGGATTTGCAAGCTCTAATGAGTCTCTTTCAAATCTGGACCTGAAATCTATTCGCTTCACACTTGCAAAGATGCCACTCCTTGTGAGTTGCATCTTCAGAAATCTACTTCACCCCCTTTGAATTATGTTCAAAGGAAAATGATAACACCGCCTCATCTGGTGATTTGACCACATCCGTGCAGTCTTTATTTTAGAGCCAGCCTTGCCGTTTTCACAGGAAATAAAAATTTTTTGTTGAAATACAAGTGTCAGGCATTACTTTGTTCCCTAAGCAAATAAATTGCAGTTAGTAAGTATGTATATGAGTTTCAATGTATTTCAGTTCTTTGTGCCCGTTGTTAACTTTTGTTAAAAATCATATTTGCTTAACATAATGAAATGCCTCAATTTTCTGCAATCCATATGCCCCATAGTTACTAAATTTACTGGAGTTCTCTTCTTATGTAAGTTGTACTGTGTTAAGGTAAACTGTTATGTTTGTGATAGTATGGTGTCTGTTGAAGTTTTATTTGTGGGGCACTTATTTCCTAGACAAATTCCACTCCTTATAAACCTGAGATTTCAAATACTTGAGGAAAATTTTTCGAAAAAATATTTTCTTTTTCAGAGAGATGATGGACACCTTCCTTATGAAATTTGGCAAAATAAAGTTTTTAATCACCTGGTTTTCTAATTATCCCACACATTAAACTGGGACCTATTTAAAGCAAGCCCAAATAAAGAAAACAAAAGGGAAGATATGAGTTAGTTATTCTCCTTTTCTCTTTGCTAGTCGTGCTTCTCGTTTATAAGTGTGATTTGGGGAATTGCCTGCCCTTTTGGTGGAGTAATGGGAGGAGGCCCATATTTTGTGCTCAGTAATAAAGGTACGAATTGTGATGGAGCTTAAACAATAATAGCACTAGAGGAAAAATATGTCTGTCATATCTTGAATGCTATAATAATGGCATTGTTTTTAGCTCTGAAAATACAAGTTTCAATAAGCACACTTTAGTAAATAATATCCAACTTTCAACATAGAAACGAGTTTTCTCAGATTGCTTCCAGCCGGCATCTGCTTGCTAGCTTACGGATCAAGCAATCCCAGACTTTGTAGGCCAGGTTCATAGTTTCTTTGGCAATATAATTCCCTCAAAAATGTATCATGTTCCTGAGCTATTTCATTGTAGTTAGTTCCTGGTATAATTAACCCCTCCCCCAAATCTCCTCTGAACATAGCTCTCCGGTCTTTCTGCTCCTTCGGTTTCATGGCAGTTTCTTCCGTCATTTGAATGGATACACTGAGGTGGGAAGGCAATATCCCTCTTGCTGCTGGGATGGCTCTGATTAATAGTTGCATCTCTGCTCATCAAGGTTTTAGAAACATTTGGGAGGTTCCAATTTCTAGGCCCTCACACAGTTTAGATTATAGGTCATTATCAGAGAATTTTCTTTCCATCTCAGTTTGCAATTTGGCTATTTCATGCTTAACTTTGCCAATCTTTTAGGGCCTTGCTCAAAAGAACAAACAACATGTAAACACTTTTTAACCAATTCTTTAAGAATAATAAGTATTTGATATAGACTATGACTCCAAAATAATGCAGATAACAGTTTTATCAGGAGCTTCGTTGTGTCATGCCAAGGGTCACTATCTTTTTAGTCTACTATATGTATTTTTTTTTTTTATTTTCCATCATCAAACTTAACATATACATATATGTTTATGTAGCACCTCACATCTTTTATCAATTTCTTTATTAATGCCCTGGCCAGTATGGTTCTGAAGTAAGAGTGTCGCCCGCAAACCAAAGAGTCCGGGGTTCGATTCCGGCCAAGGGCATGGACCTCAGTTGCAGTTTGTCTCTGGCCCTTGTTGTGGTTGTGTGGGTGGCAGCCAATTGATGTGTCTCTCTCACATCAATGTTTCTTTCTCTCTCTCTCCCTCCCTCTCTCCCTCCAGCTCTATCTGAAGATTAATGTAAAAATGTCCTCGAGTGAGGATTAAAAAAAAATCTTTATTAATTATGGGATAGGCTAACCTTCCTTTAAAAAGAAACCTTAAAATACAGTGGATTAAACAAGTTAAAAATTTATTTTTGTCTCAAAAAGTCATGCTCAAGATTCACTCATACCGTTTAAGAAAACAGACTCACATGACCAAACCCAGCTGTACTTGGGTGTGAAAATGCTCTAGTTGAGAATCCATGTGTTCAATTAAAAGTTAGAAGATTCAAATACTAAAAGGAAGAAGGGAAGAAACAACACAAAGTAACAATTAGCTATCACTGCCTTGCATGAGTTCCATCTGTCTGTCTTTTCTCCTTTTATACCCATAATACTTCCTGGATCATGGAGCTTGGAAGAAAGCTCTTATATACATATAGTGCTATGGTTTTATTCTTCAAATAATTTTAATGTACACATAATTTGGGTAAATAAATATAAGTAAATTAGACAGTTAATTATTTTAATAGAGTTTATTAAGGTATAATTCCAAACAATTTTAAGTTATTTGTATTCATCTTAACTAGATAATATTAAACAAAATAGATGACTATAGAAACTTAATTAAAGTTAGCAGAATATCTAGTCATGCAAAGTCAAGTCATGACAATTGTATTTTATTTACTAAACTAATTTTTTAATATATTTTGGTAGATGAGGGGGCTTTTTTCATTCCACAAATAGGTGTATGTACTGTATTTATTTAGAAAATCATTGAGAAACTATGTGCAAATGATTTTTAAACATATATTCTATTTTCTATATAATCTATTTAATTGGTTGCTTTAATTACCAACTCACAATTTAAGATTAGTAATTTACCAATTTACATTTCATCCTATGGTACTTTGTAAATGATATCACCAGTTCTTTGATATGCTATCATTAATAGAAAACTTTGTGTTTCAATATAGGAAGAACATTCTTCGTTTCCTCGATGCAGAACGAGATGTCTCAGTGGTCAAGAGTAGTTTTAAGCCTGGTGATGTCATCCACTATGTACTTGACAGGCGCCGAACACTAAATATTTCTCAGGATCTGCATAGCCTCCTCCCTGAAGTTTCACCAATGAAAAATCGCAGATTTAAGACCTGTGCAGTTGTTGGAAACTCTGGCATTCTGCTGGATAGTGAATGTGGAAAGGAGATTGACAGTCACGATTTTGTAATAAGGTGAGCTTAATTCTTTTCCTAAAGATTGTAATTTCTTCAAAGACATTAATATTAAGGATTATTGAAAGCTCAGACAAATATTTATCTATGATATCTTTTACATTTATTCTGAATTATAAAATTAAAATTATTGTATCATTGAAAGAAAAGATTTACACCAGCATTTCATTTGAAGTATGGCAATTTTATTAGATTTAATATTACATAAAAAAATGTTTTCTTACTATTTCTTCTTTATACTTATTAAATTCATATCATGAGTGTGAAAAACAATTAATTATATTTGTGAATGAATTAATTCACCTAATTATATTTATACTCTTTAAATTAAATGCATTATATTACTTTATTTATTTATAAACATTATGAACATTAATATGCAGTGATGTAATAGATGTAAGTTAATTTTCCTTTATAATGATAATTATTTAGCAGATTCTAATAACATAATTTAACAATTTTATATCTGATATATTAGGCCAAATTGTCATCATTATTCCCTATACTTGGTATTCATTTTAGTTTTTGAGTTTTCACACATAATAAAGCACTTGTTTGTTTTTCATTGATGGTAAACAGATATTTTGATGAATCATATGCTTGGTTAACTTTTAATTAACTGAAGAAAACACAAAAGTAGAAATAGGATCTTTATGTGAAAATAAAGATTTTGAAATAATATTTTTGAAATATATTCTTAAAAACAAGTATAATTATACAAGTATTCATCATAAATAGGCAATAATTTTTTATAAACAATGATAGTCAAGAAAAGCCTTAATATGGCACTATAAGGTAAATATAATTCACAACAATGAATGCAACTACAAACATTTGGCCTTATTATCTTACCTCTTCTCAGTTGGATGCAGGATAAAAGATTCACTTGACATCACTTGAGGCTTTAAAACCTGAACTGTTAAATTGTTTGGACTGAGGGAAAATGCTGACATATATATATACAAACAAAGTTGTATCCAAAGAGAAGGTAAAAATACTTGATGAGGGAATGGCAATGGAAGAGGAAGTAATGAGCTTCAGACATTGAAGTCTGTGCGAAGTATGGTTGTGAAAAAAAAGCAAAGCTAGAATTTCCAAAGAGACTAAACTCAGGAGACAGTCAAATAAATAAAGAAGTAAAGATTTTAGAGCATAATAGAAATTATTGGAGTCCAAAAAAGGTTACTTTAAGTCTATTAATACTGAAGATTATAGGATCCAAGTGTGATGGATTCCTTGTTCTTACATCCCTCCCCTTTGCATTGGGATCTATATAACTCTCGAGATTCAGCCCCACCTTTACTCTGAAATTAAGACCGTAAGTGTTTGCTAACACCTCTATCAGGTTATGTAATTATCGCTTCTTTTTTTTTTTTTTTTGGTGAGAACAATTAAGATCTAGTATCTTAGGAACTTTGAAGTTCGTAATACAGTATCATTGACTATAATCACTATGCTGTGCATTTGATTTCCAAAACTTATTTATCTACTTGTTGCAAATCACTTACTGGCATTTGAGCATTTGCAAATGGTAGAGTGCTCTTAGGAATAGAATTTCAAGTTCTTTACACTTTCCTAGGCTACGATCATTTTAAAAACGTATTTAACAAGAACCAAATGGGGACCAATAAGTCTATAACTGTGTTATGGTCTTACCAAGAAGTATTAAAAACAAGAGGAAAAGCATCATAATGAAGGCACGTAAAATTATCACCATAATTATTATTTTCTTTTTCCTCTATTATTACTAGTTTTCAAAAATAGACGTTGGAATCCTCTAGATTAAAGTATGTATTAGCAAATGTAGCTCAGGATTGGGTTTCTGATTTTTTCAAGAACAACTTTATCGAGAGTCCACTTATCCTTAGAAATAAATCTTTGCTGAAAAACCATCTTTGTTGTATAATAGCTACTTGGGGATTTCATTTCTTTGCGTCTCTTGGACACAAGCGTCTTTAGTGACAGCACCGAAGACCAGACCTCTGTCCTTCTAAAGCAAGTGTCTTTCTCACAGAGTTCTGGCTCATCGTGCGCAGGAACTGTTTCCTTCCCCAAGTATGTATGGCCTTTTGTTATTGTACATGTGTCTCTTCTACCCTAGAACGTTCTACCCTAGTTTTTATTTAAAACTCAATCGAAGCCTCATTCCTTGAAATAGTTTCCCATCCATATCAAACTGGTTAAAGTTGTTAAAATTTAATTAACGATCTATAGAATCTTTCAAATGTTTCACTTACCTGGAGATGTATTGTATGTGATTTTGCAAAGCTATAGTTCTGGTTGGTTGGTTGCATGTTCCCAGCTTATTTCCCACTTTTTCTGTTAGATAGTAAGCTTGTTATGGGATAAATTATGCCTGGTCTGCTTGCAGAGGGCACTAATTAGTTCCTTGACCCCCACAAGGATTAGATTTCCCAGTTATTATACTCAATTTGACCTCTAACTTTATAAACCAAAACATTATTTTTAGATAAAATCTTTATTCAAACCCTGGCCAGTTGCTCAGTTGGTTGAAGCATTATCCCGTATCCCTGATCAGGGTGCATATAGGAAGCAACCAACTGATATTTTTCTCTCTCGCTCTCTCCTTTCCTCTGTCTCTAAATATCAGTAAACATAATATTAATTCAATTTTAAACTTCACCTTTATTTTTTGTGAAAAAGTTTAAAAGAAATAAAATACTTTTTTTTTTTTTTTTTAATGATGTACCAGAACACGTTGTTGAATACAAAAGGTATTTCTTGCTCCAAATAGTTCTTGTACTGGGGGATGAGGGCATGGGGCATATAGATGGCATTATCTACCTGTATATAAATTGTAGCTTTGGAGAACATCAACTTTAATACCTCACACAGATATTTTCCAATGAGCCTGTGAAAAGTGCCCTCTTTGTATGTTTGGCATAAAATGGTAGCACTACATAAACACAGACACACAAGTTCATTGTCATGCATTTCTTCTCCTGGAGGGGATACTCCCTCAGTGGCTATTTATACCACCAATAAAGTGCTGGTTTTACTGGGGTATTACACAAAATAGGAACCCTGATCAATATCATCACATGATGCTTAAAATTAAATAAATAAATGGCAATCAAAGCCTAGTTTGGATTCCCTAGTGACTGACTAAATAATGAACTGATTTGTAAAATTTAGGGCTCATACACATATATACCTAAATAAAAGAAACAAACAAGAGAAATAATTTTATTTCTTAATACACAATGTCTAAAATCATAATTCAAATAATAGAGTTATAGCCACTTGTTCAGCATTGTTTATATGTCCAACCCTCAGAACACCCAGCACATGGTTCCTCGATTGGTAAAAGCCATGTTGCAAGGAGGGAAGTTGGGCTGAGACAGAGAATCAGGTGTCAGTCACCCCCTCTAGTTGAAAATATCTTGCTTCTCTTGACCCGCAAGCCTCTCTGCTAGGAAAGATATGATAAAGCTCTTGTGATGTTGTTTAATTTAAGTTGATGTAATTTGATCTGGCATTGATGTCAGTTACATAGCTTTTTCCACCTTCTTCAGAATAAAAGGAAATTGAGGCATAAAAGAAAAATTCTATTTATTTATTTAGCTTTATTGAGATATAATTGACATGTAACATTGTGTAGGCTTCAGGTGTACAATGTGTTGATTCGATACACCTCCTTCAGGTTACCTATTTCTAATTTCCTTTTGGTGATGAGAACATATAAGATTTACTCTCTTAGCAACTTTCACATGTGTAATACAGTATTGTTAACTTTCATCTCTAAGCTGTGCATTCGATTCCCAGAATTTATTCATTTCCTAACTGGAATTTTGTAGCCTTTGACCAGTATCTACTCATTTCCCCCACACCTCAGACCCTGTTAACCATCCTTCTACTCTCATTTCTACAAGTTTGGCTTTTTTTTTTTTTTTCATTATTGATTTTAGAGAGAGAGGAAGGGGAGGGAGCGAGATAGAAACATCGATGAGAGAGAACATCAATTGGTCGCCTCCTGTATGCCCCACCTGGGGATCAGGCCCACAATCTGGGCATGTGCCCTGACAGGGGATCGAACTGGTGATCTCTTGCTGCATACCACTGAGCCACACCGGTGGGGCAAGTTTGGCTTTTTTGATCCCACATGGAATTAATATTATACAGTATTTGTCTTTGTATGTCTGACTTTCTCATTTTGCATAATACCCTCAAGTTTCATTCATGTTGTTGCAAATGGCAAGAAAGGAAGCATTATTTTAATGATACTCACTAGACCTACTTCTTCAAACATTTTGAATCCTCTGGATGTGCTGCCTTGAAACAGGAGGAAGTTGTACTTTCCTTTATGTGTTTCTGCATCCATAGAGCAGGCACAGGCCAGGATCTGCACAAAATCGTGTTCTGTGCAATGTATAATTTTATATCCAATATTCTCTTTTTCTCCTCTGGGATAAGCTCTTCTTTTATTCAAATAACATCTATGTCTATGGTGTTTTTAAGTGAAGAGAAGTAAAGTTTTAGGCCTAACATTAGCATTGTTAACTAATAAAAAGATATTCCGAATATTCAACCAAAGTTACACTTCTAACATCAATTATAATGACGTGTGTAGACTAAAGAATGAAAACTATATGTGACTTTAAAGTTGTGAAACTTTCCTTTACATTGATGCTTATAGGACCAGTAAATTTAAAGAACTCCACAAATAATTCACTAAAATTCTTCTCCCACCTAAGTGCCACAGTAACTATAATTCTACTTATCAAAACACATTTCTTTGGCATTATTCTTATGATAAATTAAAATGAGAATAAAAGGTTAAAATGTAAACATTAAATGATTATCTCAAAGGTACTAAACACTTACAACAGTAGTTAATTCATACAGCAAACTTGTATGAGTGCCAGCCATAAGTCAGCCACGAGTGCAGCACAGTTATAGAAATGACTACTTGTGCATTCCTTTCTGAAGGAGACTTGGGGTAGAGTGGAGTCAGGATAAATCTCTGAAACAAAAAGTCT